AAAATGTTAGTGGATAACCATGAGTAAATTGCTAAAACTAGTGCAGCAAAAAATTTACCTTTTTTTCCAAAGCCATTAATTCTAATATAAACGTTTTTCTTTGCTTTTGAGAGTTGGCTGAAATGGACGTGACAAATCTTTTTATGATTGGTATTAATCAGAATCTCAACCCAACCAACACCCTGTCTTTTGTATGCTACAAGCTGTCTCTTTGTTTCATTTCTCTATTTTTCGTTTTAATAATAATCTATGTTGTGCGTGCCCCGTGTATTTTGAAACTTAGCTCCTAAGTTCTTGACTTTTATTGTTTTCTTTATAGAGATTTCTTAGAAGTAAAAACCATGTTTATATCATTTGTTACACAATTACCATATATGAGTTCATGACCTTTTGGGGTGTTGTTTAATTAAAAAAAAAAAAGTAGCTATTTTCTAAAGAATACGTGTCTTGATATAATAGGTTTACACACATTTTGCGAATTGTATATTATGATCCAATTTAGGCCGGGTTTAATGCACCAAACCTTCCTGTATTATACAAAATCTGCGCGTTTCCCCCCTGTATTTCAAAAATTGCGTCAGACACCCTTCTATTAAGGTTTTGTATGCGCAAAACACCCAAAATCGTCTAAATTTTGGGTGTTTCGCGCATACAAAACCTTAATAGAAGGGGGTCTGACGCAATTTTTAAAATACAGGAGGGAAACGCGCAGATTTCATATAATACAAGGGGGTCTTGTATATTTTACCCTTAGGCCTTATACATTTTCTGTTCAAACATCTATATCTTATTTGTTTATAGATGAGATGCATATCTACATAAACTGATAAACACACACATTTAGTTATTTTTCACATAGTTGCATGTGCCATTTATTTGAACAAGTATCGCGCAATTTTAAGCTCCTGTCAATAATATTTGCTTATAGTGATTCGTTCAATTTTAAGGTTGGAAATAAAATTGTTTGTGTTTGATTGATTTTACTAGTGTGTGGCCCGTGCGATGCACGTAATAAAACAATATTACGATTGTATTATAAATTAAATATATAAATAAGATTAATCATGATTTATTCATTGTTTTTAAATTAAACCGGGTTGGAAACAGTCCGACTGGATGGACCGAGAACCAGTTTATAACCAGTCTAGTTCGCTTGAATAAAATATTTGCTATCGAATCCGTCAACACCAGTCGGTTGGACTGGTAGGATCGATACGATTTTCTAAATAAATTTTGTTACATTTAAAATTATTTGAAATAAAATTACATATTTAAATAAAATAGAGATTTATAAATTGTTTATCAATTAATTTAAATATTTGAATTTATAAATTGTTTAGATATTTAAGTAACACATTTTATTTAAATTTATTACAAAAGTACTATATATATATATATTAAAATGTTTATAAATTAAAATCTGAACAAACCACAAATGATTTAATGGATCGTTTCGATGACGCTTCGATTATGAAAACCATATTCACAGTACATTAATAAAAATTATATTAAAATATTATTTTATTCACATAAATATTAATAAAATGATGTATAACTATTCATTAATCATTAAACATGTTGTCATAAAAGTATTGTTAATATGATTATTTGAAGTTTGGACAATTGGACTACTTCACATTCACGTAATAAAGTATTTTCAATATTAAAATTTATATTTAGGTTCAATAATCAATTTGGTATGGTCAAACTGATACATAACTTAGTCACCTGGGACCATCCAAGTTGTGTCAAGTTTTTTTACTATTTTAAATATCACCTAAAAGTAATTTAATAAACCTGGACAGTACCCTAATTCAATCACCCGATTGATCCAAAGAAATTTTCTTATTTTCTTTAAATATATTTAATTTTATGAAATAAAAATATTTTATGATTCATATAATAAATGTCTAAACCAAATGATAGTATATTAAGATTATAAATTATATATTCTATGATGAATTAATTATTTTTAGTTTATGCATATTAATAAAAAAATAAACATAGTAGTTTTAAAACAATTAAGATTAATTGATAGATTATGAAATTTAAAGAATATTTTTAGCGTTCAATATTTTTTTTTTTTGAAAGACACAAATACAAAGATCGATATTCTAAAACCTTTGTTATATTTTAAATTGAGATTTTAAAAATATAGAGACCGAGATTTTAATGTTGTTCGTTGTTATATATATATATATATATATATATATATATATATATATAGATTTTGAAACAAAAAAATTGATATTTGACTTAATTTTTGTAAAATTTGAACTTGAGGAAAAATTTAAAGAGATGAATTTCAATTGATTTGAAATTCTTAAAACATTAAGAATTTCGTACATGTTGAAACCAAATAAATCGAAATTCATTATGATTTGTTAATTTTCAGGAGGTTTGTTAATTTAAAGTGGCCAAAATCCTTCATCTATCGAATGATTTATTTATCCGTACAAGAATAAAAGCATGTGATGAGAATTTTTTGGAATTCAATTTGAACAAAATCCTTTATATTAGGAAGAGATTTTGAATTAAGCCCGATTTACGGCAACCAAGCTGAGACAACTCAAATTCAAAGACAAAATTTTCGGATGTTTGGAATCTCACAATCATATTTTTAGAATCAAATATGAGGGATTTTGAATTTAAAATTATATTCAAATGATCGAAATTTTCAGAACTAAATGGAACCAAACCCACCAATTTAGGCATCATTTAATGCTGCTCGAATTTTTGAAAAATAAAAAATAAAAAAAGTTACTAAGAATGATAGGTAATTAATGTTGACCGAAATTTGACCTACCATTTTTTAAAAATGGTAATTCTTATTATATATATATATATATATATTGGATAAAGTGAGTTATTTAAAAAAATTGATTAAGTAAATGATTGAGTAGATTCTCTCGGCGGAGAGCGAACCAATTCTCTCGGCGGAGAGCGATCCATCTTTTTCCAGTTTTCGATCATCTCTTTTTCATTTTGTTCTCCCCGACCTTGTTTGTATTGAATCAATCCTGCTCTATCATCGCGATAATTTTCTGGAGAATTAGGGTTCTGGTACCTATGGGCTCCTCGACTTGCATAGGGCAAGATGAAGATTTGGCACAAAAGCTTCAAGGCGTCTCATTGTCTGCTAAGGAAAATACGTTCATTGATATTGCCAAGAACGACATAAGAATCAGTGATGAGGAATGCCAGCGTAGCCTCTTTGGCAAAATAATCGGCGATAGAAAAGCAAGCTGGATAGGTCTTCGTCGCACGATGAGCCAAATTTGGAGATTGAACCAGCCAATGGAGGTGAAAGAGTTGGGACACAATTTTTTCCAATTCATATTCCAGAGCAGAGATGATATGGAGAGAATAGCCAGAGGCATAAATTGGGTATTTGACAATCAATACCTTATACTCTCGACATGGACGCAGGGGCTTAATAGCAAACACAAGATTTTTCAGGAATTGAATCTTTGGGTCCAGGTCTATAATGTACCCCTAAACTGGCTTAGCACAGATGTGGGAGTCAAGATTAGATCGGTGTTCCAAGAAGTAAAAAATGTGGTAGTTGTCGGAGCCGGTTTTCATGGGGGTAGAATTCTTAGACTCTTAGTTAAAATCAATCTTCATGAAGCTCTGCCTCGCTGTGCTAACTTGAGACTAGATGGCCAAGAAGTTAATGCGGGTTTTAAGTACGAAAAATTGGTGAACCACTGCCACTATTGTGGGCATATTGGGCATCTGGACAGAAGCTGCGAAACAAGAATGGAAGACATCAGAAACAAAACAGTTCAAGAAGGCCAATATGGCGATTGGGTGCGCGCCATTGATGGGTACCACTGGACAGGCTATAACACCTCTGACTCCAGAAGTCCTTCTAAAACAGACAAACAACCAACTCCTTCTCCCTCTCAATCATCTCCCCCTCTCACAACTAGCAGCCAGATGGAAGACAACCAACAAATCCAACCCCTCCAACCTAAACCCCCCATTCCAAATACACCAACCCTCCCAGAAACAGACACAGAGCTCTCACAAACACCAAATACAGAAACTAATAACAAAGCCATATGCCTTGTGGATGATAACCAACCTCAGTCTTCGGAGTTAATGGTTGTTACTCCAGCCCCATCTTTAACCTTGCCTGCACAATCTAAACCAATGGACATAGAACTTTCAGCAAATGCATCCTGCCACCACAAACAGCCCAAACTCCTGCAACAATCACAAACCAAGCTATGGAAAAGATCTACAACCAGAGTGGGAAGGCTCTTGAGACAAGACACTAAATCACCACAGTCCACTACATCCATTAGTGGGAAAAGATCCAGAGCTGATAAAGAAGTTATAATTAAAGATCAAGAAGAACCTTCTCTCTCGGACAGTAAAGAGGACAACAAACAGCTGAAGATTTCTTCCGGAAAGGTGGGGGTGGCCAGCCTCAAATGGCACCCAAGTGACAAATGTTAGCCGTGGTGTGGAACTGTAGAGGGCTGGGTGGGCCCTCTACGGTTTCCCAAATCAGAGAGTCTATCAGGACTCATCACCCAGTTTTCCTATTTCTATCTGAAACAAAAAAACAAAATGGCTTTGTTAAATCTGTAATTAGAAAGCTAGGTTTTGATAATAGATATTTTATGGTTGATCCCTCAGGTAGCAGAGGAGGCTTATTACTTATGTGGTCCATGGACGCTCAAATTCATAACATCACCAGCTCTGACTTCTATATAGCGGTGGAATTTTCTACTGATCATGTGAGCAAATCCTGGGGTATTTTTGTATATCTGAACACTTGTCCTCAAATCAGATCAGAGCAAAGGGTGCAGCTTTAGAATGAGAGACACAGTTGGGGAGCTAAGTGGTTCACAATAGGGGACTGGAACGATATTCTTTCCAGTGATGATAAAAGAGGGGGTCTCAAAAGGCCTGAGCGCAGCTTCTCCGGATTTAAAGACTTCATCAATGCAATGGAGATGGATGAAATCAAGATGGAAGGACATGGCTTTACTTGGTGCAATAACAGACTTGCAGAGGGCATGGTAGAGGAAAAGCTCGACAGAGGATTTGGATCCTTAGACTGGCTCTCAGAATTCCCAAATGCCACTATATCCACGGTGGCCCGCAGCGGTTCTGACCACTCAATGCTCATGCTCAGACCAGGGACCAAAAGGGGAAGAACCAAACATCATTTCCATTTTGACAAAAGATGGCTCACTCGAGCAGATATTCAAGAAGTGGTCGAGAAGGCATGGTCCATACATACAAATGGCACTCCTTTCTTCCAGCTGAAAGAAAAAATCAAGAAAACTAGGCAAGCTTTGCTTATCTGGAGTGCCAACTTCAAAACTCAAAACCAGACTCTCATTGAAAACCTTTCAAAGAAGCTGGAAGCTTTGCAAGAAAACAGACTGACTGAAAATTGGGATTCTTGGAATGCTACTAGGAAAGATTTAGAAGCAGCACACAAGAGGGAAGAAGTTTTCTGGCAACAAAAGGCAAAAGCACATTGGCTCAGAGAGGGTGACAGAAATACCAAATTCTTTCATGCATACACCATATCCAGAAGAAGACAAAATGCAATATCCAGGCTTCTCTCTAGCAACAATAGAGTCCTCACCACTCAGCAAGAACTCCAAAATCATATCTCTGAATTCTATGCCAATCTATTCACATCAGAAGGATCTTGGGGAGGGGACACTATGCTTCACCACATTCAGCCCACAATTACCTCAGAGATAAATCAGTCCCTTCTCAAGCAGGTTGATGAGGAAGAAATCAGAACAGCCCTATTCAGTCTGAGTTCAGATAAATCCCCGGGAGAAGACGGTATGACAGCCATTTTCTATCAACACTTTTGGTACTTGATCAAAACTGAACTTATTGCTGCCATCAAGAGTTTTTTTCATGAGAATGGCTCATTGCTTAAGTACTGGAATCATACCATTTTAACCCTCATTCCTAAATGCTCAACTCCAGAAACTCTTTCTCAATATAGACCAATCAGCCTATGCACTGTAGTGTACAAAATCTTATCTAAAATTTTAGCTTTGAGGCTGCAATCTTGCTTAGACATTTGTATCAGCTTCTCTCAATCTGCTTTTCTGAAAGGGAGACAACTCTTTGACAATGTTATCATAGGACAAGAGGCCTTTCATTTTTTGAACAGACACTCTTCAGGGAAAAATCACTTTATGGCTTTGAAGTTAGATTTGATGAAAGCATTTGACCGTGTTGAGTGGATCTGTATAAAAAAAATCATGCTTAGAATGGGCTTCAAGAAGGAATTTGTGCAGCTTATTATGATCTGTATATCATCAAGCTCTTTCTCTTTTAAAGTCAATGGTACTGTTTATGGCTATGTTATACCTTCAAGAGGAATTAGACAAGGGGATCCACTATCCCCTTATCTATTTATCATAGTGGCTGAAATGCTCTCTGCTCTAGTTACTCATGCTGTTGAAACAGGGGAACTAACTGGCTTAAGGCTCTCAAGGAATGGTCCAGTGGTGTCACATTTGCTTTTTGCAGATGACTCTCTATTTTTCACCAAAGCTAGTAATGATCAAGCCATCATCTTACTCAACCTCCTGGAAAGATATAGACTTTTCACTGGCCAAAAAGTTAACCTGCAAAAATCAGCAGCTTTTTTCAGCAGGAACACACCTCAATGTCTACAGAACAGCATTTGCACCACTTTACAGGGAATCACCTCACATAGATCCACAAGGTATCTGGGCCTTCCACTTGGAATAGGCAGATCAAAACTAGAAGCTTTTCAATTTGTTATGGATTCAGTCAAGGCAAAGCTTCAAAGCTGGAAATCAAAGCTACTCACACAGGCTGGCAAAGAGGTTCTGCTAAAGGCTGTGATCCAATCTCTTCCTGTCTTCTCCATGTCTTGCTTCAAACTCCCAGCCACTTTATGTGCAAATATTTCCAAGCTGTGTGCTCAATTTTGGTGGAGCAAAGGGGAAGATCAGAGCAAAGGGATACATTGGAAAAACTGGAACTTCCTCTCCCTTCCAAAAAAAGTTGGTGGCTTAGGCTTCATTGACATCAAAAACTTCAACATTGCTCTGATATGTAAACAACTCTGGAGAATCCAAACTCAGCCTCAGCTCCTGGTAAGCAAGCTTCTGAAAGATAGATATTTCCCTGACTGCTCATTGTTTGATGCTGTGAAAACACAAAACTGCTCCTGGCTATGGTCTAATTGGCTGGCAGTGCTTCCTCTTTTTGCTAAAGGCTTTGCAGTAGAGATTAGAAATGGTGAACTAACCAGGTTAGATGATGTTAATTGGGTGCCATCTTTACTCTATCCAAAGCCTAACATACTGGAAATTGCCAGAGGCCACATTACTTGGGTTAAGGAGCTGCTAAATGAAACAGGGAATGGCTGGAACACTTGGCTTGTTCAACAACTGTTTAATCACTCAGACAGTGCAGCAATTCTCAAGATCACTACTCTAAAGCCTGGAAAGCAAGACAGACCATATTGGAAATTTGATAGCAAAGGAATATTCTCAGTCTCCAGCACTTACTCTCATCTTTCACATCAAAAGCTGCTGACTATGGACATACCTGGGTCTAGCTCCTCTGCAGGTAACTCTCAAGCTTTCTCAAAATGCTGGAATCTGAAAATAGTGGGAAAAGTAAAACACTTCATTTGGAAGTGCATTACCAACTCACTACCTGTCAAAACTAATCTGTTTAAAAGGGGAGTTAATATTGATGTCACATGTCAAGCCTGTGGAGAATTTCCTGAAACCATTGAGCATCTACTCTTCCACTGCCAAGCAGCAACTCTAGTATGGGAATTATCACCTGTTACTTGGGCAGGCCTGCCATCAATTACATCTTTTAGATACTGGTGGAACCATATCTGCACACTAGGGACTTCTGACACTTCCGAAGCCAGAATACAACTCACCACCTACTTACTTTGGTGGCTATGGAAGTCCCGGAACCTTTGGATCTTTCAAAGCCAAGCCATGCCAGCACACTTGATCATCAGAGCAGGTCTTGAAGAATGGTTGGAATTCACTCAACTGTCCAACTAATGTTTAGTTCTAGGTTAATGTTCTTGTAATTTTAATTGTTGGAATATTGATGTATATTAGTCTCTTTGTCCTTTGTCTCTTGTTTTCTCTTTTGTTTGCCCCGCTAGGCTCTCGAGCAGTGGAGGGGTTCTAGTCGAGTTTTCTTCTTATTTTCGGTTAAGTGTGATCTAGGCCGCTTGTAGCGTGTCCTCTCATTTTTATCTTTCGGGTGTGGCTCGTTGTACTTTCGAACATTGTTCGCTTTTGGTTTGGAGTTATAATACATCTATCGTTCCGGAAAAAAAAAAAAGTAAATGATTGAGTGGAATATTGAGTTTGTATTTAAATAATATTTACAATGTAATGATTAGAGTTGTTGTCATGTAAAAGTACGAGAGAGAAATGTTATTAGAAATGATAGTTAATATTATGTGAGTAGATGAATAGTGAGTTAACGACGATGTGATGTAATTGGATGATTGATTGGTATTATTTAATTATCTTGATAATATTAGAGAGAGTTAAGTTGGATTAAGTTAATTTGAGTTCAATTTTGAGCTAAAAATTTATAAAAATTATTGTCTGATTAGAAATAACTGGGTTTATAAAAAAGATTTCATGAAATTTTATGGCTGCGATTGGTTATAAAATAAATTAGTTATTTTTGCTGGACAAATTTTTTATTTTTTAATAACAAATCAACTCAAATTTGATCCAACTCAACTCTTCTCAAAACGGCAGAGGAAACTATATTAATCTCAAAGCGAACATAGTTCGAATACAAGAGTCTACCAATCGAAACAGCAAACTGAGATACTCGCATAAAGCGGTCTAGAACCTCTACAATACAAAAAAACCGGAGAAAGAAACAGAAAGAGTTTGACCCCCGGCACTGCTACAAAGCCTAGCAAGAGATCTAACTCAAACCAAGAAAACAAAACCATAAAAAAGAAACAAAGACAAATTAAACTAAAGAAACAACATCTATGAACTTCATCCAATCAGCATGAGCAATCTGAGAGAGTTTATTTTCCGAGATTAAAGACTTCTGAAAAATCCACAAGTTCCTCGACTTCCAAAGCCACCAAAGCATATACGTAGTAAGTTGAATTCTGGCTTCAGCTACTTCAGAATTGTCAAGAGAACAAATGTGATACCACCAGGTCTTAAAAGAAT